CATAGACGCCAAAATCCTGAAAAAAATATAGCAAATCGGATCCAGAAATACATCAAAAAAATTATTCACCATGACCAAGTGGGATTCATTCCAGGGATGCAAGGCTGGTACAATATTCGCAAATCAATAAACGTGATACACCACATAAACAAAATGAAGAATAAAAACCACATGATCATATCAATAGATGCTGAAAAAGCATTCGACAAAATCCAGCATCCATTTCTGATAAAAACGCTCAGCAATGTAGGAATAGAGGGATCATATCTCGACATAATAAAGGGTATATATGAAAGACCTACAGCCAACATCATACTCAATGGACAGAAACTGAAAACATTTCCATTAAGAACAGGAACAAGACAGGGATGTCCACTTTCGCCAGTCTTATTTAACATTGTACTGGAAGTCTTAGCCACAGCAATCAGACATGAAGAAAAAATAAAAGGGATCCAAATTGGAAAGGAGGAAGTGAAACTGTCATTATTTGCAGATGACATGATATTATACATAGAAAACCCTAAGGACTCCATGAAAAATCTAGACTTAATAAATGAATTTGGCAAAGTAGCAGGATACAAAATTAACGTCAAGAAATTGATGGCATTCTTGTACACCAATGATGAACTCACAGAAAGAGAAACTGAAAAAACAATCCCATTTACCATAGCGCCAAAAAAATTACGATACCTAGGAATAAACTTAACCAAAGAAGTAAAGCACCTATTTGCAGAAAACTACAGGTCATTGAAAAAAGAAATAGAGGAAGACATAAAAAAGTGGAAGCACATACCCTGTTCATGGATTGGAAGAATTAACATCATTAAAATGTCCATACTACCCAAAGCAATCTATAGATTCAATGCAATCCCCATCAAAATACCAACGACATATTTCATAGAACTAGAACAAATATTTCAAAAGTTCATATGGAACCAAAAAAGACCCCGAATAGCCACAGCAATCTTGAAAAAAAAGAACAAAGTAGGTGGGATCACAATACCAGATATCAGGTTATACTACAAAGCGACTGTAACCAAAACAGCCTGGTGCTGGCACAAGAACAGGCATATAGACCAGTGGAACAGAACTGAAAACCCAGAAATGGACCCAAGGCAATACGCTCAATTAATATTTGGCAAGAGCATACAGTGGAGTAAAGACAGCCTCTTTAATAAATGGTGTTGGGAAAATTGGACAGCTACATGCAAAAAAATGAAACTAGACCATCAACTTACACCATACACAAAAATAAACTCGAAATGGATAAAAGACTTAAATATGACCCGTGAATCCATAAACATTCTAGAAGAAAATGTAGGCAACAAAATTTCAGACATCATACGGAGCAGAATTTTCACTGATACATCACCTAAGGCAACAGAAATAAAGGAGAAAATGAACACATGGGACTACATCAAACTAAAAAGCTTCTGCACAGCAAAAGAAACAATCATCAAAATGGAAAGGCAACCCACTGTATGGGAGAACATCATTGCCAATAATGTATCAGATAAGGGGTTAATTTCCAATATATAGAGAGTGCTCCTACAACTCAACAAAAGGAAGACAAAGACCCCAATTAAAAAATGGGCAGCGGAGCTGAATAGACACCTCTCCAAACAGAACATACAAATGGCCAAAAGACATTATGAAGAAATGCTCAATCATCAGAGAGATGCAAATTAAAACAACAATGAGGTATCACCTCACACCTGTCAGAATGGCCGCCATCAACAAATCATCAAACAACAAGTGTTGGCGAGGGTGTGGAGAAAAGGGGACTCTAATACACTGCTGGTGGGAATTCAGACTGGTACAGCCACTATGGAAAACAATATGGTGCTACCTCAAAAAAATTAAAAATTGAACTTCCATTTGACCAGTGATCCCACTTCTGGGAATATACCCTAAGAAGCCTGAAACACCAATCAGGAAGAATATATGTACCCCCATGTTCATAGCAGCACTATTTACAATAGCTAAGATCTGGAAACAGCCCAAGTGTCCACCAGTAGACGAATGGATAAAGAAGCTGTGGTACATATACACAGTGGAGTACTATGCAGCGGTAAGAAAGAAAGATCTCTTATTCTTTGAGACGACTTGGAGGGACCTGGAAAGTATTATCCTAAGTGAAAGAAGCCAAACAGAAAAAGACAAACACCACATGATCTCACTTATATACGGAATATAATGAACATAACAGTCTGAGGAATACAGTAGACCCAGAAACATGGAAGTAGGGCACAGACTGACATCCCTCAGAAGAGGGGGTGGGGGGTGGGAAGAGATAAACCACAGAACTTTTATGCATGTATGCATGACCAATGGACATGGACAACTAAGCCGGGGACGGGGCGGAGGTGGGGTGGGGTGGGGGGTGCCAATGGGGTAAAAAGGTAAAATATCTGTAACAAAAAAATAAATAAAAAATTCATAAAAAAAAAAAAAAGAAAAGAAAAAACAAAAAAAATCACCAGACACACAGTTTACCCTCTAAGGAAACTTATTTATGGGGACTAACTACTTTGGGAAGAAAAATGTAAGAAGTACTAGGAGAAAGTTAAGAGAAATAACCACTACATACTGCAGAAACATACTGGGAGTCAAAAAAATGTTGAAAGCAGATTGTAAAACTAATGCCCTGCTCCAAGGTCAACAACTTGAACAACCAAAAAACGAAGAAGACCTTGCCCAGTCCTGGGGTCAGTGAGGGTCACCAGGAAAGAGTTGTAAATTGATGGAATTCCTGAGAGCAAAGAGTGGTACTATTCAAAGGGCATATCTTGATTCGAGGACTAAATACTTTTGGGCTTGACACGAGAGTATTATTCTAGAAACATGGGGCATGCCTGGAGAATGTGGACCAGCAACTTGCATGTCCTGTGTTCATTCATTCATCCCATTGAGGGTAGATGTTAAGTCTCTTACATCTCCTTGCTAGAAACTTTGGTTTTCTTCCTCTTTGCAAACCACAGGGAAACTGAATTTCTGTACCTGTTATATCTCCTGAAGCTGAAAGTAATGAAGGTTGACCACTTATAACCAGTTTCTAGATATATAGGGGAGGAGAGGAGACTGCGGTGATTTTCCTGAGGCTTCCACTGGACCACAACTGAGCAGACCAGTCACCTCGTAGGAAACAAGAACAAAATCTTCCAGGAAGTCAGAATTTCTGTTTAAAACGGTTCTCACATATAGGTATACAAGTATCCCAAATACCACTAGAAGAAAATCTAAACGCACATGGTGCCAGCTGCTAGAAACTGTACCAAATTAAAACAGAATAGTATCTTTGAGATTTTAGGTGTTCAGGGCCCACTCCTGAAGATTCCGTTAAAACAAAATCCAAAATAACTACCTTGACAGAACATGCATGTCCTAAGAGGCCAAACATTTTATCTGGGTGAAGGGATGATTTAACTCAAGTATACAAGAAAACATTTTCCTTGAATATATTGTGTTGAGGGAAGACATTTTCCTATATAAAACATAATTTTTTCACTACTCTAAAGAAACCCAATAAATAACTATAGTGAAGGGCCCTGATGAGCAGGGAGTAACCACAGGTCCCTGGGCAGCTGCAGTGGTGGAGGTGCACAAAGTGCCAACCCCTCCTCAAGGTGGCCTGCAGCTTTTTTTTTTTTTTTTTAAATCCTCACCCGATGATATTTTTCTATGTATCTTCAGATAGAGTAGGAGGGAGAGAAAGGGCGAGAGAGAGAGAAGCATCAATGTGAGAGAAACACATCGACTGGTTGCCTCTCGCATGACCCAGACCAGGGCCGGGGAGAAATCGCAACCGAGGTACCTGCCCTTGGCCAACGCTCTACCACTGAGCCATACTGGCCAGAGCTGTCTTTTTAAAATGTGACTCACTATTGTTTCCAAGCTGCTTTACAAAACAGCCCTAACTGATAAAGCCTGGTGTGTGTGTGTTGGGGGTGGGGGGTGGGGTGAAGCCAAAGCATACAACACAAGAAAAGGTTGAAGCCAGGGTTTTCATATGATACCTCTCCTTCCAAGGGACCAGTGACACTGAGGTCTGCCATTAGGCTGCAGGTATTTCATCCATGTGTGTGCAGCAAGTCTTCTGTACCCATCACGAGAGAGCTCGGGAGGGCTCTTTCTGTAGGAATATTTTGCTATGAGATCCCTGTAAGTGTTCTTGTGCTTCAGGCTGTGGGATTTGGCCCTGCATTTAGCCAAACACAATTCAAAGTGACCTTCGACTGCCATGAAGAGGTTCTGGAATGTAACAGCTGCCTGGTTGAGGAAGTACCCCACCCAGGAAGAGTTGCTTGTTGGTCTGCAGCAGCTATTGTACAAACAACCATCATAGCAGTACTGCTTGGTGCCCAGGGCATTGATGTAACAGTGCCATTCACCAGCAAATCATCTCTGGTTTGTCCAAGTTGAATGCAATTTTGGCACTGGTTGCTGGGCCTACTGCTATTATCCAAATTAACCTGCACTTTCTGTAGAATGGACCAATCATAGTCTTGAACCTGGAAGAGATTCCCAACTCTCACTGCCCTCAAGAGCCGGCTCCACACCATGGCTGCTAGGTTCACCATGCTGGCATGGTGCAGTGCGGAGCACAGTGGCTGGGGCATGGAACAGGGCAGGCCTGGGCCCTGGGTAGCATGGACCCTACATGACTGGCAGCCCCATCCCTCATGCTGAGTGTCAGTCCCTTGGCCCTCAGCCGAGCCATCTCCCCACTCAGAAGGTTTTAAATAAAGATCATGAACATTTCTACATGGGGTTGAGGGCAACCATCTGACCTCTTTAGGTTTATTTGTATTAGTTTCAGTTTAAGAGTAGGGTTTTCCAAATTTGTTCCAAAATGCCAGGGTTCCATTCTAACTTTCCTCCTTCTGCCAGTACTCTCATGTACTTCAGATGTCACTAACCTCTAAAATCCTTGCCAATGTGAGGTTGTTTATTTAGCATGCTTTGGTTCATTTTATTCATTTAAGCCATTTCTATCCTAGGATTTGAAACCTAGCAACATCGTAGTAAAGTCAGACTGCACCCTTAAGATCCTGGACTTTGGCCTAGCCCGGACAGCGTGCACCAACTTCATGATGACCCCCTACGTGGTGACACGGTATTACCGGGCGCCAGAAGTCATCCTGGGTATGGGCTATAAGGAGAATGGTGAGTGCATATGGAAGCGGAAGAGGCTGAGATGTTTAAAAATAGTGCCATTGATCATCACTAATGTTGTCTCTTTCCTGTGAATTATATGAAAAATAATGTAGGGACTGTGTTACATACAGATTATCATAGTCCACAGATTAACAAATCTTTAATTTTATATTGCCATTAGTTACAATCCACTTTTTTTTTTTTTTTTTTTTTTTAATCCTCATCCGAGGACATTTTTCCATTTTTTGTACAGACAGAGTGGGAGGGAGAGAGAGGAAGAGAGAGAGAGGGAAACATCGATGTGAAAGGAACACATCGAGTGGCTGCCACCCGCACGACCAACCAGGGCCGGGGACAAACTGCAACCGAGGTACGTGCCCTTAGCAGGAACCAAACCCGGGTCTCTCTGGACCGCAGGCGGACGCTCTAACCGCTGAGCCAAACCGGCCAGGGCTACAATCCACTTTTGAAGTTACTATTTTAAATGTTTATCAAAGTATAACATACTTATAGAAAAGTATGTGAATCTCAACTGTGCACTCAGTGGGAGTGCACCCACATAACCAGCACCACCCCAGGCTGCCCCAGAGCCCCTTCAGTTTTTAGTCCCCAAGGGAAGCTATTACCCTAATTTCTAGCACCAGTGATTGGTTTTACTTGTTTTCGAACTTGATATAAATGGAATAATATATGTTTTTTAATATAAAATCAGTTTTTAACATCAAAACTTAACTTATTGTAGCAATATCAGAGGTCTTTCAAACTTAGCTTTTGAAAAATTTGCCAAAAAGAACAAAAATCACATTTACTTGTTTTAAAAGAGTTTGAAAGTTTGCCCCAGTCATCTGACATGAGCTTTGCTTCCAGTTTATTTAGATGTTCAGTAACCTGTTCTCCGACTCTGGCAGACACAGCTCCTTTTGTTTCCTGTGGAAGGGAGAGAAAATTAGATTCCTGATTACCTTCTCCCACCCCACCCTCTCCAGCAGGAGCACTAAATAGCCCTCTTGTCTGGCTCTCTGAGGCATGGGGTTCAGCTGGCCCCACAGAAGAAGCTCAACAGCTAGAATTCAGGGTGTTTAGTAGGGTCTCACCTGGAGCTCAGAAAAGCAAGCCTGCCTCTGTGAGGCCCTACTGGTGGGACAATATAGAAAAGGATCATTCAGGAGGTGTGGAGTTTGGTATTTTATAAAAGCTCCCATTGACCAGAGGGTTTGTCTTTGTGTGGGGGGGAGTTTGAGAAAAGATGTGTGGGGGTCTCCTGCTGGTTTTAATCACCTGGTGTTTGGTAGTGGACATCTGGTCTGTCGGGTGCATCATGGCAGAAATGGTTCTCCATAAAGTCCTGTTCCCAGGAAGAGACTGTATCCTTCACAGGGAGACCCTGTATTGGCCACAGGGCTGGGGCAGTGGGCATGTGGCCTAAAGCAGCTTTGTGTGGACAGGCACTTCTTGTTTCTGGGGTTGTGTTTTGTTTTTTAACTTGTAAAGTATTGGAATCTTTGGCACTAAAACCCCAGATTGCTGCATACTGATGGCTACAATGGAGGCTGACAAACTTCACATTGTGTGCAGTTCACCCTTAGCAATTTGTTCTTCCATATTTGTATGTTTAGTACTACACTGTTAGAATTCCTTTTCTTCATCTTTGTTTTGTTCATGGCACTTTATAATTTTATCATTTCATTTTATTTTCAGTTGATATCTGGTCAGTGGGTTGCATCATGGGCGAGCTGGTGAAAGGTTGTGTGATATTCCAAGGCACTGACCGTATCCTTCCCGGGACCTCCCCGGCCATGCTTCCCTTAAACACCACTGGCAGCAGGAACTCAAAAGGAAAATGTCATTATTCCAGACTGGGTTTTAAGGGGGCTTTATTATGTTTGTTAAATTAGTGTCACAAACCAAATGGCTCAATTTTACATTTTCTTTTTTATTTGACTACCTCTAATGATTTTATTGAGACTTTGAGTTAAGTTAAACCAGTTAAAATTAGCTCTTAATTTTATCAAAAATAGCTTATTAGAAATGTATTTACTGTTTGATGGATAATCTGATATAAATGAAAATACTGTTTAGTTCATTCAATTTAATTGAACTAGGCAAGTTGCTATCTAAATTTAATAGGCCAGTGAGTATTCTTGCATCATTTAATTAATATACCATTTTGTTAGTTATCAGTATGCATTAAAATACTTTCCCCCTAAAGAACTGAGCCCAGCTGGTGTAGCTCAGTGGTTGAGCATCAACCCATGCACCAAGAGTCGCTGGTTCGATTCCTGGTCAGGGCCAGGATTGTGGGCCAAACCCACAGTGGGGGGCATGTGGGAGGCAGCCAATCGATGTTCTCTCTCATCGATGTTTCTACCTCTCCTTCTCTCTCTAAAAATAAAAACAAAATTTTTTTTAAAGAAAAAAAGAACTGAAGCACACTACACTTTACACTTTAAAAGATTAAAGTGAAAGTTTGTGAGAAACAGTATGTAAATTTTCTTGTTTGTTACTCTGCTAACATTTTGCAGAATTAAAAAAAAAATCCGTTAGGAAGGTTATTTTGTGAGACACCGGAAAGTCTAAATAAATATAAGATCCAAAAGGTTAACTTATCCTGTGGTCAGGAAATCGTATTTGTAACAGCATAAAGTAAATAGATAATATAATAGCTTTTTTTCCTCTTATTTCTCATATTCTCCATCTTTAATATTTTTTACTCTGACATGGTTCTTCACATATGGCCTTTTCATTTGTGTTCTAACTAAATATTTTCATTAGTGTTTGATTTTTTTTGTTGTTGTTATGAAAGCTTTAAGTGTCTCTGTTCATTGGTAGGTTGATGGTTATTTTTAAAGGAAATCAAGCTGTGTAGACAGTGTTTGTATTTTGTTAATTTTAGTTTTTAATAATTTTATGAGGGTAGTTTACTTGTGTTATAACTTCTTCACAACACAAACTTGGAATGAAAAGATTTTATTCCTCTCATTTTATTTACCTTCCTTTACATTTTCTACATTACAGATCTAATGTGAGATTAAATGCGACATTTTATTTTGTTCTGATAAATTTTTTAGCAGTTAAATTTTCCCATAGCCTACCTTAGATTCACTTGTTTCAAACAGTAAGAAAGGGGCCTTTATTTTGCAAATAAAGTCAATTAAAAAGAGAAAAGTTGACATATTCTACAGATAAATCATTTAAAAGTATCTACTTAACATTCAGTTGTTCTTAATTCTTATTTATTTTTTGCCTTTCCTTTTTGCATTAATTAAGAAATTTTTTTCAGAAAATACAAAAATGAAAAATGTGGATACTTTTTGGTGCATTATTAAGTAATTTAAAATTTCTACTTTACATATTAGCATCTTATAGTGTCAGTAATTAATAGTTTTATATATATATAAGGTCACCTAATGTCATTTTCAGAACATACACAGAGATTAATATCATTTTCCAAAGATAATTTTGCCAATTTTTCAAACATTAGATTAAAAATTACTGGGATAGAAAAAGATTCTGGAAACCAGACTACAGTTCTTATAGATTTGCTTTTTTTTTTAAAATTAATTTATTTATTTTTGTTACAGATGTTTCTCCTTTTCCCCTTACTAATCCCCCCTCCCCGCCCTGTCCCCAGCTTTGTTGTCCATGTCCATTGTTCATGCATACATGAACAATGCATGGCAAATGCAGAGCCTGGGAGCCCCACAAGCCAGAAGTCTAGCCCAGCAGCAAGAGAGAGGAGGGGAGCATTTCTTTGTCTAGGAAATTAAATATTCATGTGTCACATGCTTGCAGTGGCCATGCCTATTCTGGCCACTGACCCACTCCCAGATGTGATAGACAGGCACCTTCCCAGGTCACTCAGACCTTACTGGGCATGTGTCTAAACTGCCTTTGTTCAGTCCCTTCTCCTATTGATCAGTAGGGAACTGACCTGGAGTGTTAAATTGCTAGTTTCCTCTTACTTCTTTCCTGTTTAATAATAATCAGATCTTCACACAACCCAGGATGTCAGCTAGGCTTGTTGGGACTATCCTGTTGCCTATCCCCCTGCAGTCTATAGACATGACCCTTTATCATGAATCCAGTAGCTGTTTATTGAGTACCCACCCTTTCCTAGGTTCTCATCTGACTTAAAATGGAAAAGGAAGGCCCAGCTGCTGAGTTGAGGGTCAAGGGCTATATCAAGGAGACCACCAGAATGGTAGGAGGAGTAGGGCTGAAGCCTGGCATCTGTTTTGAAGGTCAGCCCTTCAGAGAGCCTTGTTAGGATTCTGCAATGTCTGCCAGACACTGGAGATACCAAGAGCTGAGTTTGGGAAAGAGGTCTGAGATGTAGAAATAAATGTGGATCAGGCTGCCATGTTATGTAAAGGCAGGATACTGGTAGTGAATGTTGAGAGAGAGCAAAGAAGGAGGACCAGACCCCTTGGGATGGCAGAGGAAAGAGAAGCAGGGAAAGGAATCAGAGGTCCCCTCCCAGAGAGGGAGGCCCTAGAGACCAGGAAGGAAGTTACTGACAGAAGCTGGGTGATGCTGTTAAAAAGGTGAGGATTGAGAATTGACCACTGGAGTGAGGAATGGTCGCTGGCAACCTTGATGAGCTAGTTTTCATGGAGTGATGGGGGAAAAGCCTGGCAAGAAGATGTTTAAGAGAGAACAAGAGGCTGGGAATTAGAGATACAAGTATAGGGAAAAAAAACAAACTTTTTTTTTTTTTTTTTTTTTTTTTTTTTTTGCTGCTGCAAGTAAGAATGGTAGCAAGCAACAGATGGAGGCCCTGCCTCACAAGTTTCTGGTTCCCCAGCTGTGAACAGAGAAGTCCCATAGGTCTCTCCACTTTAGTGAGCTTTAGATCTAACATAGCTTTAGTGTGAAAACTGATTTTAATTTGCCTAGGTAATTACTGTCTAATTTCATATATAAGCATTTTTGTCATAGGTATTCTTCAGTTACAAGACAATTTTATTTTGATCTAGAATGGGAAAGCATATAGACCTCATTGTATTGATTTAGTAAACTGTGATCATAGTTTGTAAAGATGCAGAGTTTAAGAGGGTTTTTTGTTTGTTGGTTGGTTTGTTTGTTTTTTAATGATGTAAACTTAGAAACTCAAACCTTATTTGTATATTATTTCAAAATGCTCTGCTGACCTGGTGGTGTGGCCTAGTTAATTACTTGTCAGCAGATATAAGTAGAATCTGTTTTTCTTTGAATGATGATGTTTCATGTAATAGGAATATAAGGCATTTCAGTTGTATTTTCCTCAAGAGACTCCTTAGATATTGATCAGTGGAATAAAGTTATTGAGCAGCTAGGAACACCATCTGCAGATTTCATGAAGAAACTTCAGCCAACTGTGAGGAACTATGTAGAAAACAGACCAAAGTATCCTGGAATCAGATTTGAAGAACTCTTTCCAGATTGGATATTCCCATCAGAATCGGAACGAGACAAAATTAAAAGTAAGATAATCCTCTTTTTTTGTACTTGTCATAATTTGGGTGAAGCCTTTTTTTGTTTGTTTGCATTCTAAAACCTGTGAACATTGGGAGACAAAATAGTTGAAATCCACAAGTAAAGCCATTTACAGGCTAGAATGAAGGCATTTTGTAGAGAAAACTTCAAGACCTAGAAGTTTTGTCCTCAATAAAATGGCTTAACTAAATGGGCCAAATAAAAATATTCTACCAGTGAAAGACTCTTATGTTAATTACAGCAATTGAAGTTTTAAAAGTTTTCAAGTTTACAGAATGCTTGAATAAAGATATAGCACAACTGAAAAGTCAGAAACCATATATATGATAGTAGTTCAATAAAAAAAAAAAAAAAAAAGATCCTTCTCCCCTTTTCCTGTGTCACTAAAACGTGATTTAAGGGAGAAGATTAGATTTGTTTCTCTCCGCATTAAGGTAAACTGCCCCTCAATCAGAAAAGCTCCATCTCTCCTTTCCCTATACATGTCAACTTTCATTGCCAAAACCTAGGTGAGCCTTGTATTTAAGTTATTGAAGTTGTTGGGTTTGTTTGTTTTTTTAACTGCTACTGTTACCAGAAAGGAGACCTGGCCCTGAGTAGGTCTGCCTAGGGCCAGCTGGTGGTGTGTGAGTTCTTGACTTCATGCAGGAAAAGTTTCACAACACTAGTCCAGGTGAATTTGAGAGGACATTTATTAAAATTGGGGACAACGAAACAAGGAAGTGCTAGAGAAATGAATCTAGGCTGGGCTGCTTTGGCTCATTAAGTAGTCAGAGAGGCCTGGCCAGTTTGGCTCAGCAGTTAGAGCATCAGCCTGTGGACAGAAGAGTCAAAGGTTAGATTAGGACAAGGGCATGTACCTCAGTTGCAGGTTTGATCCCCGGCTCCAGTGGGGGTCATGTGGGAGGCAACCAATTGATGTGTCTCTCTGACATCAATGCTTCTCTTCCCCCCCCCCACCCTCCCTCCTTTCCACTCTATCTGAAAATCAATGGGAAAATATCATCAGGTGAGGATTAACAATAACAAAAAAAGAAGTCAGAGAAAAGGGGGCCTTGGGGACAGATTCAGGGGGTTTACCTGGGATAAACTGCCACCGCCCATTGCTATTCTGGTTGCAAGCCTCGTGGGGACCCTTAGAGTTTAGGAGATGCATGCCTGTGGGGGAAGAAGGAGGGTTGGAAAGGCGATGGTGTGCTCCTGGAAGGGGTCCTTTGTCCCAAAGCTTTTATTTCTCTCTTGCAGGCAGCAATCTTAGGGGAGCCCTCAGGGGAGGGTTTCAACAGATTAGTGATCAGTTTTCTAGGTGTGACCTTTCAGGTTCACAGTCTCCACTGATTGGTCAGTGTCAGGGCAGGGGGTCATTAGTCATTGCAGCTAGTCCTGGTGTTGCCTATCTGGTTTTGCTGCTTTTCTGGGTCTGGAACTGAAATACAATTGAGGCCTAGATGTAATTTCTAGAGAAGTGACCTATATCCACTGTAAATTGCTCTGCCAGTTTGTTCAGCTATCTGTCTCAGTTTCCCTATTCCACTTGTCCTGGCTTACTTGCCTGTCTCACTACTAATCTCTAGATATATTTTTTTAAGTGTATGTTGACAACATTGTATATAGGTACACAAAGCAGAGGCATCTGTGAAGTGTTCTATTCTGTGTAAACACAAGATTATTGTGTGGCTTATAAGGTCTGTTCTAATTTCACTTTGAAATGACACCAGAAGAAAATGCTTGCCTATGGTTCATGTCTGCAAATATGGCAGTGCCACCCATAGCTCAGCTCCAGTTATCTCCCTGGCCAGAACCTCTTAGCGTGGGGCTCTGCCCTCCTCTTCCAGATCCAGGGCCTAAAACCACATTTGAAGCCTGGTTTCTAGTGAAAGGGGCTGCTTCACTTATTCTCAAAGAAAACAGCTCTGTTGACCTTGAACCTATCAAAAAAGTCTCAAAGTTAATACATTGTTTTAAGAAATGTGTTTTTATTGATTTTAGAGGGAGAGAGGAAGAGAGAGATAGAAACAGCAATGAGCATCAGTTGGCTGCCTCCTGTACACCCCCTACTGGGGATCGAGCCTGACCCAGGCCCTGACCGAGAATCAAACCTGTGACCTCTTGGTGCATAGGACTACGTTCAACCAACTGAGCCACACCACCGGGCCCGTTTTTGTTCTGTGTTGTCACATTTAGTTCATTATGGTGCAATATTCAGTTAAATAGCAGTTACTAATCTAATATTTGTTTTCACTCTAGCAAGTCAAGCCAGAGATTTGTTATCAAAAATGTTAGTGATAGACCCTGACAAGCGAATCTCTGTGGACGAAGCTTTGCGTCACCCTTACATTATTGTTTGGTATGACCCTGCTGAAGCAGAAGCGGTAAGCAGCTATTTTTAAAAGACTTATGTGTAGAGGCAAGGCTTATATTTCCTTGTGTCTTCCATCTGTTGGTCTGGGATGGCTATGTAAGGATAGTGAGTCCTAGATTTAAGAGGATCAAAAAAGGGACCATGTGACAGTGGTCACAACCCCTTTGGGACACTTGTTTCTGTGGCTGTAGCTCAGAGTATTTTAGAAGTGAACGTGTTTATTTTGTGGCAATATAATCGTCTTCTTGGATGCAGATACTGGCATGTAGTTATCATATCACCAGTTTTTAAGCCTCTGTTTTGTACCTGGCACTGTGCCTGGGGCTTTGGTTACATCATATTGTTTAGGCACCCAGTCAGGCTAAAAAATTTGCTGAAAATCACAAGTTTGTTTTTCCCAGGGGCACCTTCTAGGGGAGCTCCACTCTGAGCCGTGCTTGTGTGCAAATTTTTTTTTTTTTTTATCCTCACCCGAGGATATTTTTCCATTTTTTGTACAGATAGAGTGGGAGGGAGAGAGAGGAAGGGAGAGAGAGAGAGGAAGGGAGAGAGAGAGAGAAACATCGATGTGAAGGGACACATCGAGTGGCTGCCACCCGCACGACCAACCAGGGCCGGGGACAAACTGCAACCGAAGTACGCGCCCTTAGCGGGAACCGAACCCGGGTCTCTCCGGACTGCAGGCCGATGCTCTAACCGCTGAGCCAAACTGGCCAGGGCTTGTGTGCAATTTTCCACAGCTGCACTGGTATAGATGTTCTTTAGCTGTGAGTGAAAGAGTCACATAGTGGCATGCTTATTTTATGCCATCAGTGGAACACGTTTTTATGTCTTGGCCTATGGATTTAACCACCATTTTAAACATTGTTTTATATGAAAAGAATCTGACATACAAACATGATTTTTAAGCAAATTTTTGGATCAGTGCATTGATGAGTTGGCAGTAGGGGCGTGGATTTGGGAGTTCTAATGGGAAGAACTGTAAATCTGGACTACTTTCTCTACCTTCTGTGTTTCCTAGCACAGTGCCTTGACCAGGGTGGATCTCTAGGAACCAGCCTGTGATGTCTCATTTTATAATTACATTTGAGCAGATATCTTTAAAGTGTTTTGAGGTCATGTGATTATAAAGAAGACAACAAGAGCTCTATTTTATTGGTAAATTTTTTCTTAATTATTTTGATTCTAAAACATGTAATATGCTTATGAAGAAATTTTTCATAAGCTATGTTTAGAAGAAATTATATCCATATCATAAATATATTAGAAGTCTTCCAAGTGATTCTACCTTTTTCTTTGTGCCTCATTATTTTGTTGACTTGACATGTAATTTAATTTTTAGCCACCACCTCAAATTTATGATGCCCAGTTGGAAGAAAGAGAACATGCAATTGAAGAATGGAAAGGTAAAGATGAGCTTATTTTGATCCATACTTAGGACATTTCTTGAAGTCCTATAAGGGGACAGCTTTTCACTTTTCAACAATAGCCTTTGGGGCAAGAGCAAGAAACCCTGCAAGCCATTATCCTCCCTCTTCCCACTTCCCAGGAGAAAAAGAACGTGGAAATAACAGAATTAAAGAGGAATATGTATGAATTGTATATTATTGGCTTCAAAAGAGAAAAATAAGGGCTTTTTCACATGACCTTACATGATCAAATCCTGGTTTGCAAACTAAACTCAATAATTATATCACACCTTGATAACATGTTGCAAACTGGTAAGCAACCCCAATTTATAAGCCCCTATAAAGCCGACTTCAATGGGAGACTTCACTGGGATCATTTGAATTTACGCTGTATTTATTTATAAGTCATGTAGTTGTATATGTGTTTTAAAATAGAATTTGAGCAAAATTGCAGATCACAAATATGCAAATAGTTTTGTGGTTTTTTAAATTTCTCATCCAAGGATACTTTTCTGTTTATCATCAGATAGTGGGAGGGAGGGAGAGAGAGAAAGACAGAGAGAAACATTGATGTGATAGAGCCACATCGACTGGCTGCCTCCAGCACCGCACAACCTGACCGGGGCCAGGGACAAACCGCAACCGAGGTGCATGCCCTTGACTGGAATCAAACCCGCAACTCATTGGTCCGTGGGCTGATGCTCTAACCACTGAGCAAAACCGACCAGGGCTATGCAAATAGTTTTTATTTCCACTGTAAGATTAACCAAACAACCCACAACAAGCTACACCAGCAATGAAGAGACTGAATTAGTGATTTTTCATTTAAAGTTAGAATTAGTAGTCATTGAGAACTATGGTCTGTCAAAAGAGGTGATATGTCCTGCCCAAGGGCCCCTCCCCAGAGTTCCTAGAGTGCCAGTGAATGGTTTGCACACACTCAGCAGGGCATTGCACACAGCCACACTTTTTGGCAAAAGGCTGACTCACTTATTTCACAAATACTAAAATTTTAGGAACCCCTAACAGCTTATTACTAGATAATTGTTTTTCTTACAAATGAAATCAGGAAAACTGAGGTTGAAGCCACAAAAAAGTTAGGTATTTGGATTAATTTCTGATCAGTCTGGAGGAGCTTCTAGCCTACATATGGATGCTGGTCACATTTGGAGAACCACAGTAATGACAGAGAGAAATGAGTGTAATAACATCCAATACTTTAAAATGTTCTGTGAGAACCACTTTGCTAATTCTCTCTCTCTTTCTGGCCCTCTATCTGTTTCTCTCTCTGTCTCTCTCTCCTCCCAACCAATATCCACCCTCTGTAAAACCCCCTCATGGACCTAGAACCACCTGTATTTTGGGCAGCCTTAATAGTTGTGTTGAAAAGATGTAATCAATCAAAATATGAATAGTTTTGTCTAAGTCGACTATCTTTGTGAATTAACTGTACATCACAGTGCCCTTGGACTGGTTTCAATGGATTTGGAAGAGGGGTTAGAGATGCCAAGAAATGAATGAAGGCTTTTAACCTGTATTTCTGTTTGCAGAGCTAATTTACAAAGAAGTAATGGATTGGGAAGAAAGAAGCAAGAATGGTGTAGTGAAAGATCAGCCTTCAGGTTAGTCATTGCTTTAATAGTTTGATTACATTTTTCTTTCCCTGTTCAACTTTTACAGATGGCAATACTGGATTTGAAAATTCCTTGTGTGCTTTAGTCTCCCCCATTTGGGTTTGTCCTGGAGGTGGCAGATAATGCTATACTGAGGTGCCAGGCAGTGAATGAACCTCATTATAAACATTCTTGTTTCATCCTTGTAGCAGCTGCAGTCAGCTTCATTTATAGATGAGGAAATTGAATTTAAAGCCTTTTTAAGAAGCATGATCCACTTTGTACTGGCCCCACCCAGTTGAAAAAGAACACTAATATGAATCTAAGTAAAATGGAATTTGGTTTTCTTTTGAGAAAATTGTTCAGACAGTTATCAAATTTTCTCCTTAACCTACCTAGTGGGAGAAGCTTGACTAACAGCAAAGTAATTGTGTGATTATTAGAGACATAGCTGGTGGTGTTAACTTATGTCTGTAGGATGCTACCTGTTTACTAATTGAAACTCTTCAGTTATAGCTATTTTCTCACAGCACTCCTTATGGAACTTGTGCATTGGATTTTATATTCAGCATGACGTATGGGGTCAGTCATCTAGAGGTCGTGTAACTTCAGCATGAGTTTAGGTGCTTTTTGTTAATTAAGCCCAATTTTAAGACTGAAGACACTGACGTCTGAGAGCATGAATGTTTTCTTTTTGCTCAGACCAGACCAAAATATGGATAGTAGGAAATGGCATAATTTCATTTGCCTTAAAATGTCAGTTTTAGAGATTTCTAAAACAAAAATAAAATGAACAAGAAGATATTACATTTTTTTCCTTGTTTGTTTGTATACAGCCCTTATTTTAGGCATTTTTTTTTTCTTTACTGATTTTAGAGAGAGAGGAAGGGAGAGAGATAGAAACATCAATAAGAGAGAACATCTGTTGGCTGCCTCCTGCATGGCCCCCACTGGGGGTTTGGCCCACAACCTGGTCATGTGTCCAGACCGGGAATCAAACCAACAACCTCTTGGTACATGGGTCAGTGCTCAACCACTGAGCCATACCGGCTGGGCTGTGTTTTTGTTGTTGTTAATCCTTACCTGAGGATATTTTTCCATTGGTTTTTTAGAGAAAGAGAGAGAAACATCAGTGTGAGAAAGACTCATCAGTTGGTTGCCTGCTGCACAACCCCAACTAGGAATTGAACCTGTAACCCAGGTTCAATTCTGCCCTTGACCAGAATTGAACCCAAGACCCTTTGGTTCACAGAGCAATGCTCTAACCACTTAGCAAACCTGCCAGGACTTAGGTGTTTTTATTGAAAATAATTCTTCAAAGGTTGATGCTTTTTTCCTTGGATCAAGTGTTTGTAATTATAATAGAAATGTCTTATGATATTTGTATCCTATTTGGGCTTAAGCCTTTTGTGATACTGATAATTTTAGGATAAATTCAGCAATTTTCTTTACTATCCTTTTTAAACCAGCAGATATTTTTAAGTAGTTAACATGATTATACATGATTATGTATATGATAACTTAGCCACTGGGAAGAAAAGGAGGATGTTATAGGGAAAGACAGGAATATTTAGGATTCTGGCCCTAAAGAAAGACTCTAGGAAAAGCTCAAAATGTACAGTTGACTAACGTCTCATTAATACTAATAGTTAGGACAGGAAACTACAAAAGGACAAGCGAGGAGTAGCCTGAGGTCTCACTACCTGGATTTGTAGCAATGTCATGCTTCAGGTTTTATTATATTTGGTTTTCTTAGCACAGATGCAGCAGTAAGTAGCAACGCCACTCCTTCTCAGTCATCATCTATCAATGACATTTCATCCATGTCCACCGAGCAGACGCTGGCCTCAGACACAGACAGCAGCCTTGATGCCTCCACAGGACCCCTTGAAGGTTGTCGATGATGAGTTATAAATAGCAAGTTTGTCATCAGTGAGGAACTCTCACCTCCATGGGCCTGAAATGCCTTGGAGTTGAAGGAACCAAATTAAAAAGTCCATGTTCTGCATGTAAGAAACACGATGCCTTGTCTCTGCTCGGTCCTAATAACACTGCCTGCCTAGATTATAAAGTGAAGCAGGTTATGTCTGAAGGAAACAGTGCAAGCCACACTCTTAGAGATTTCTTTCAAGGTCATTTCAGGTGAGCAATTAGAATGAATGCACTTTTTAAAATTGTGTGGTAATAGTAGTGACAATTTCTCATCCTCAGTAACTGTCGGGACTTATATGCATGTGACCACAAATGCTTCCTCTGACTTGCCATCTAGCACTTTGGAAATCAATATTTAAATGCCAAATAGTCTTCCAGGTAGTGCGACTTCTAGAATTATCTCTTAATCCTCTTACGTACTTTGGTGTCTGTCCAGAAAAAATAGATTTATGTGTATTAATTGGCCACCATCGTATTATCATATTTCACCTTCTTTTATGGTATAATTTATTCTATCTTTTGTATTTCAGAAGGAATATAATTAAATCTATTTAATAAATAAAAAATAGAACTTAAAAAAAATGTGTCATATTTGGGGCTGAGAATTACCTTTGCTAAAGCCAAGACACTTACATGTACACTTTGTTCTAAGTCGTCTTAGTCTGAGAGGGTTTTACCGTCAGTTTTGTTTGTTTGTTTGATTTAATCCTCACTGGAGGATATTTTTCCATTATCTTCAGATAGAGTGGGAGGGAAGGAGAGAGAGAAAGAGAGAGAGAGACATTGATATGAGAGAGAGACACTGATTCATTGCCTCCTACTCGACCCCGACCAGGGCCAGGAACTGATCCGCAACCGAGGCACGTGCCCTTGACTGGAATCAAACCCGAGACTCTTCGGTCTGCGGGTCAACGCTCCAACCACTGAGCCAAACCAGCCAGGGCTATACATTCAGTTTTACTGCATGATAAAATTTCAAGTTTTGTTTTGTGCTGCTTAAGACATATATACCTTTAAAATCTTGACTACCCTCTTTTTTTCTTAGTTCTCTGAATTTACTATTAATTTAATATGCTACCTAGAAATTCACCATCTTTATTAACCTCCTAATAATCCATTTCAATAATATGACAAATAGCTCCTCGAATCCATTACCTGCCTTTAGAGTAGAACTGTACAAAATGATCACTAAAGGTGGTTGCAGGCACTTACTGAGTGCTCACTCTGCCTGCAACGAGACTGAGTTCTTACTTCGTCATTCAAAGTGTACATGACTTCACAAGGCAGCATTTCTCTTTTCCAACACAGCATGCTTACTGGATTTTCTTTCTTTCCTGGAAGAAACTACATTAATCTCCCTATGGCCTGTTTGAGGAGCCAGCCTGATTCCAAATGCCTGTTGGTTGTTTCCCACATTGTGGTAGCATCTTTCCCTCGGAAATATCCATGAGTGTTCTGGGAAAACTCTTTAGAAGGATATGGAGGAAATGCCTGAAAGAGTAGTGATTAACTTTTGGATATTTCCTGATTTAAAACTGCTCACCTGAAATTGATACTGTCATATTTTTTGCATGTGGAAATTATTCAGAATTCACTAAAATACTGAGTATTGAAGTGTCACTGCAGAAATAGTCACATTTTGGCTACCTATGTGCATAATGTTTTTCCCTTGAGCTTATTCTGTTACAGATTCCTATCTTGTGTTTAATTATTTTGGAAACTATTGGGTTAACAATTGTTCTGAGGAGGAACTTTAATAAGAAAGTTTATTATAAATGTTATCTACAATATATGGTTCTCTCTTCACCAGCTGTATCTTACTGGTTGGTCTTATCACTGGAAAGTAGAACCTTTGATGAGCAAACTCAATATTGAAGTAAGAGTTTTATATCATGAGATTTAAACACATTCAAGTACAAGATGGAAATACTAACTTGGGCTGAGGTAGAAATACATTTTTTGGGTATTGGGATGATTTTGTTTTTAGAGGCCTGGTTTTTAGAGTCCATATCTATAATGAAGACAGTTATCACTGTACATATAAAAGCATCTTAAAATGGCTTTCTCTCTATTTAAAAGCTTTACTAAATCTATCTTTTAAAATAAAAACAAAGGGGAGAGTTTTTAAAATGTAATATCTGCCCTAGCCTTATGTAAGTAAATGCAGCATCAGGTGCTGAGGGAGGTCCCACTTAACCAGGCACCCCACAGATGGGCTTTCTGCTCACTCATTCCTCTGTCTTTTCACAATGGAGCCCACATATGTGTGGGCTGGTTTCCTGCCAAGACCACCTTCCATCAGGTAGTAGAGAGTGCGCTTAGGACAGGCCACAGACTACAGACGGCAGAGCTCTATAGGAATATCTTACCCTCTGCAGGGTCCACCCTCCTGAATGAGGCGTGTCAGAATCCTGGTGCAATATGCAGGGTTTCACACTAGTCACTATGGATGAATGCTTATGTGGATAAGAACTGAAAATGTGCTCAATTTTTCATCTTCTCTATTTTATTTTTGTAATTTATATTGTACACAACCCTGGAAGTAATTATTTTGGACATATATTTTTATAAACCAGGTATTATTAGCCTGGAATTTGGATTAGGTTTGTTTTGTTTGTTTTCAGTCAAAACCAAAATGACTTGCCTCCCTTTGTTGGGTCTTGATTTCAAGTGCAGGTTCCAGAAAGCAAAGTCTATCAGAATAAGAGAGCATTCTAGAAATATGTTGCTCAATGCTGATCAGCTGTGGTCTGGAGATGCTAGCTAGTATGGCTCTGTCCTTATCTTTGAGATGCAAACTCAGAGCCAATGCTGAAAGGAGAAACCCTCAGAAGGGCCCTTGCTGGCAGCGAGTATCTAGTTGAAAGGTTGAATGGGATGCTGCTTTCATCCAGATTTGATGCTGTGTCAGTCATGGTGATAATTATGTGGTCTTCTGCTTGATAGCTAATGTAACGTCTCCAATGTTTCATACTGGTAGTAAATACAGGTGTGACCTTTCAGATTGTATATCTCAATAGTAACATTGCCTAATGTGTTATAATAAAATATATTACGTGTGTTTTGTTTGGTGAAAATAATACAGATACATTTTAAAAGAGAAGTGTATAGCATGTCTAATTTTTGTGTGTTTCTTAAGTGACAATTGACTGTATATTTCTACATCACCGTTTCTGGTTACAGATTTAACATAAACACAGGTGGATGTTAAAGTGTCATTTCAATCAATACTAGCAAAATGTTTTTAAATTGAAACATAAAACATTTCTGTTAGATTGCTTACTGAAAATATTCTGCAAATTCCTGAGTCTGAGTTTTCAAAATCAAATATTCAGAGCCTTGGTGTAATTGTCAGCTCACAAGGTATGGCCAGGAGGCTCCACCAATTGGTCTGCTCTTGTATTATGTCAAGTCCCTCATGGCACCATTGTGCTTGTGATTTGTACATGGGATGAGCACTTGGATTTCACTTTGGGTTTTGAAGCACTTTAGGATATTCACAGTTTAAAACAATAGGAGTAGAAGGGCCCTCAATGGCTCACTTTCTTTTCTTTTTTGGTACGTGCCCTTAGCAGGAACCGAACCCAGGACTCTCTGGTCCACAGGCCAACACTCCAACCGCTGAGCCAAACCATCCAGGGCTCTTTTCTCTTCTTTAAAGGACTAGAGTCATTCCAGATAGATGAACATCAATCTTATTTCTAAAGGCCTCTGAAGAAGGAAAACATTTCTCTTGATATCGGTCTGGGTTCCATTTCTCTATCTTACCACCTTCCCATTTTCAATGTAGACAGTGCTGAAATACTTTTTATTAAGTGACTGAAATGGTACATGTCGGTGGCTGAGGGATTTTGGTGGGGAAAGGGGTAATATATCAAAATAATTGGATACTATCCTGAAGATTCATTTGTGCCTACTTGTGTGAATTTGAGCATAAAGTTACCTTTGACAGTAAGGCAGTTTTTGATATTTTTTATTTTTAATCAGGAAAGTTGGTAACTAGATTAGTAATAACAGTGACAAAGTGGCCAGTCACATCTCCTTGAGGCTTTACATGACCATGATTAAGAGAGATGTTTCTGTCACAGCCATTGGGAACTTATTTGTTGTGCCCTCAAGGCACAGGGCTACACACTCCTTCATAATTTGAAAGATCAAGGCTTTGGGGCCCAGGGGCTTTGTGAGCAAGGGTGTTTGCAACCACACTTTCTCAGCCTTGGTGCTTTATAGTTGGAGGAAATTCAGAATCAGTTCTCTAACTCCCAACCCCCACCCCCAGAACATTGAGGAGGCTACAGCCCCTGGAGGAGGGAGGTGCAGGTTTGCCTTGAGTATATATCCCACTCTTCTTTTAGTCATAAACACCTCTGAGATGCTGATGAAAACTTTGACCCTCTCCCTAAATAAATGCTATAAGCACAAAATTTTGCCAAATTTTCTGAAGAATCCTGGTGGGTACCATGGTAAGAGCTCCTTTCTAGAAGCACCTGCTGGATGTTTTGTGTTCTTAGCAGGAAGCAGAACCTGCAAGAGGGTTCTGGGGCCTTTTCTGCTCTTACTGTCTCTGACACTTATATACGCATCTTTGGTATAAATAGGGACACCCTAACTCTGAGCCCCAGTACTAGTCAATATTCTTAAGTGCCCAAAGAGAACATAGAGCCTTAGCTACAGTGAAGTAGGTCATTTCCATCATTCCTTCAACATGGAACACAGTATACAATGGAAAGATAGAAGCTAGAGGCTTGTAATACAGACTCATGGAAACAAGTTGTTATGTACGAAGTTATGAGATAAACTCTTGACTTAAATCCCTATTTTAAATTGTTGATTCTCCAGTAATATTTTCTCCCCTCCTGAAACTTCCCTCTGACTTTCTTAGAATTTTTATAAGCGTGCTTTAAAATTAATTTTATTTACACACTTAGCTGTCATAGAGAGAGAGAACAAATAGAGAAGTCCTCTGGTTCACACTTTCATTCAGAGCAGGAATCAACCTGAAGAAGTAACCTAGCCTCGACTCAGATGGTTTTAATTAGGGAATGCCCTTCCTACTGATTTTTTTTATAGTTTTGACTGTTAGAAAGTTCTTTCTTTAACTGAGCTGAAATCTGGCTCCTGCAACTTTCACACATGGGTCCCAGGCATTTCCTTTGGGTGAAATGGAGTGAGTCAAACCCATCTTATGAGATAGGCTTTAAGACATTAGCTGGAAAGGTAAGCTTCAAGTCTTCTAGTCTCTAGATTAAACTCAAAGTTCTTTCAACCAACCCTCTCATATTAAAAAGCCCCTGGCACCTCTCTCCACTTCTGTATACTCTAAAAAAAACTTGCCTGTTTCCCAGACAAGAAAAAGTTAAAGGACTCCATTACCACAAAACCAGTATTACAAGAGTATTACAAGAAATGTTAAAAGGACATCTTAAAAAAGAGGAAGAGGACAAAAGAGGAAGAGGGCCCTGGCCGGTTTGGCTCAGCAGTTAGAGCGTCGACCCAAGGACCAGAGAGACCTGGGTTCGGTTCCCACTAAGGGCATGTACCTCGGTTACAGTTTGTCCCTAGGCCCAGTTGGGGTTGTGTGGGTGGCAGCCAGTCGATGTGTCTCTCTCACATCGATGTTTCTCTCTCTTCCTCCCTTTCTCCCTCCTGCTCTATCTGAAGATCAATGCCAAAATGTC